CCTGTTGTAGTTCAATGTTGGTATCTTTCTCTAAGTTGGGAAGTTCTCTGATATTATCTCCTTTCATAAACTTTGTTCCCCTATTGCTTACTCTATCTCCTGTTAGATTACTCGTAAATTTGTCCTTTTGAGGTTATTTTCTAGGAATTATAGGTGTGCTTCATTTTTTATTCTTTTTTATCTTCTCTGTGTATTTTCAAATAGCCTGTCTTCACACTAATTCTTTCTTCTCCTTGATCAACTGTGCTATTAAAAGCCTCTGCTTTCAGAGTGGCAACCACATTTGTCAGTTCCAGAATTTCTGCTTGATTTTTTAAAATTATTTCAATCTTTCTTAAATTTATCTGATAAAATTCAGAATTCCTTCCCTGTCTTATCTTTAATTTCTTTTAGTTTCCTCAAAGCAGCTATTTTAAAATCCTGTGTCTGAAAGGTCACGTATCTCTATTTCTCAGGATTGTTCCCTGGTACCTTATTAGGTTTGTATGTTGAGGTCATGTTTTCCTGGATGGTCCTGATATGTCTTCACTGCCTGGGTATTGAAGAGTTGGGTATTTTTGTGTTGTCTTTGCAGTTTGGGCTTGCTTGTGCCTGTATTTCTTCAGGAGGAATTCCAGATATTCAGAGGGACTTGGGAACCCAAGCCCAATACTGCTGTGGTTCTTGCAGACTCAGAGACGTACTGCCTTTGTGGTCCTGGATAAGATCTGCAAACATTCCCTGGATTACAAAGCACATTTTTGTTCTCATCCCTTACTTTCTCCCAAACAAATGGAGTCTCTCTCTCTCTGTGCTGAGCTGCCTGAAGCCAGGAGTGGGGTGACACATGCAACCCTATGGCCACTACCACTGCGACTGTGCTGGGTGTCACACCTAGATCCAGCACAGCACTGAGTCTTGCCCAAGGCCTTTTGTAACCACTACCTGGCTACTGCCTCAAGACTCTAGGACTCTACCATCAGGAGATGGGGAAGCAAGCCAGGTTTGTATCACTCCCTTCAGAGTGGTGAGTTCCTCCAGGCCTTAGGTGGCTCTGGAGATGCTGTCCGAGAGCCAGTGATTAGAGTAAAAAACCTTAGAAATCTAGCTGGTGTTCTATTGCAGCTAAACCTCAACCCACAAAACAAAGTACTTCCTGCTCTTCTCTTCCCTTTCTACAGGCACAGCAGCCTCTCTCTTGGTGGCCACTGCCACCACCAGCAAATAAGAAGTTGTGCCAGCCTACCACCAATGGTCACTTAAAGCCCAAGGACTCTTCCATCAGCTTGTGGTGGATGCTGCAAGGCCTGGGACTCACTTTTCAGTGCAGTGAGCTCTCCTTTGGCCCAGGGCAGGTATAGAAATGCTTTCCAAGGGCCTAGGTCTATACTCAGGGACCCTAAGAGCCCACCTGATGTGCTACACTACTGTTGCAGAGCTGGTACCCAAGGTGCAAGATAAAGTCCCCACTGATTTTCCCTCTACTTTGCTAAAGCACAGTCTTCCACCATAGCCAGCACACCTGGGTGCTGTGTCTGCACCTCAAGACAGCACATCTCAGAAATTCACTAATGATCCAGGTAGATTTCTATGGTTTTGGGGTATCACTGTTGGTTATTCAGTGTCCAGGAGCTCTCTATAGTCAGCAAGTGATGAATTCTGCCAGGACTTGGTCCTTCACTTCAAGGCAACAGGTCCTAGAAATGTAGTCTGAATGCTAGGGCCTCACGACTCTATCCAGTGCTCTATGCTAGCTGTTACCTAAGATGCAAAGAGTAAAGAGGGCTCTGTCTTGCATCTTAGCTGTTATCTTAGATCTAAAATACAAGATCTTTGCTCTCCTCATCTCAAGCAGGAGTCACTTCTGTTGCTGTAAGCTGTGCTGCCTGGTGTTGGGGAAAGGGTAACACATGTAGTCTGTTAACTGTACATGCTGGTGTTGTCTCTAGGTCATGTGCTGTACTAATCCACTGGCTCTAAACCCAGCCTAGCATGAGGACTTGCCAAGGAATCACAGTACTTGTGTCCTAGACTGCCTTTCAAGTTTACCTAGGACCCCAGAGCCCTTTAGCCTGTGGTGGCATGTCTTGACAGTACTCAAGTTCCAACCACTGGGATGGGTGATTCCCTTCTGGCTAATGCTGGTTCAAGTACTCCCTTGAGTACTTGAGTACTTGGATAGTTGCAGGCTGAGCCCAACACCACTTTGCTCTCTGCTATGACAAGACAGCACTGAGTTCAATACCAAGTTCCCTAGTCACTGTGCTCACTCTCCCTCAAGTGAACATTCTCTATCCAGCAGCTACTGCCAGGGCATGAGGCGGTGAGGGGCATAGTGGCCACAATTCAAGGTTGTCCTTCTTAAGTTCTTCAGTGCCTCTTTCAGGGATATGAAGTTAAAGCCAGTCACTGTGATTGCTTGCCTGATTTTTGCTTCTTATAACAGTGTTCTTCTTTTGTAGTTAGTTGTTAAAATCTGGTCTTCCTGCAGCAGGATATAATAGGTGAAGGCTTCTGTTAGGTTTTGAAAGGAAGTCAAGGGTTAAAGACAGAGAGAATTGGCAGCTCAATAGCAACACAGGTTTACTGTCAGCACAGCCCCACTGCTGCTTACAAGCTGGGATAATTATAGGTCTGGGTGGGAGGGATTTGGGTGGTATGGTTTGCTGCCTGGGAGATACTGATAAAGATTTTCCCGTGGTCAGGTGTTTTGGCCTTTTGTCTGGCAGGATGTGGTAAGAATATTCCTTGAGCCTTTGTCCAGCAAAATGTGGTAAGAATGAAGCAGGATGTTTCTCATGACCCGAGCCCCTGTGGAATGTTTCACTCTGCAAAATGGTGGAGGGCTTACAAAATGGTGTGGCTTGAACTAACAGCTTCCATTCAGCCACCTTGCTCTGCCCCTTCCAGGTAGCCTCAGGATAATAAACATTGCCCCTTTCCTTTATTTCAGATGGAGTGTTGCTGTTGCCCAGGCTGGAGTACGATGGCATGAACTTGGCTCACTGCAACCTCCACCTCCCAGGTTCAAGCAATTCTCCTGCCTTAGTCTGCTGAGTACCTGAAATTACTGGCACTCACCACCATGCCCAGCTAATTTTTTGTGTTTTTTCAGTAGAGACGGGGTTTCACCATGTCAGCCAGGCTGGTCTCAATCTCTTGACCTCAGGCAATCCACCCACCTCCCAAAGTGCTGGGATTACAGGTGTGAGCCACCATGCTCAAATACTGAGCTTTCATTAAGATGTTTAGGATTCCTTTGAATGTTTCTTGGTTTCTTGTAGGGAGGGTCTACTAGTGATAAATTCCCTTACCATTTGCTTCTGTGAGAAAAACTTTATTTCTCCTTCATTTATGAAGCTTCACCTAGTTGGATACAAAATTCCTGGTTCACAGGTTTTTTTCTTTTTTTAGCACTTTGACAATTCCATCCCATCCCATTCTGGCTTGTAAGGTTACAGGTGATTGGGCCCAGTGGTTCAAGCCTGTAATACCAGCATCTTGAGAGGCCAAAGTGGGCAGATTACTTGAGTCCAGGAGTTCGAGACCAGCCTGGAAAACATGGGGAAATCCTGTCACTACTAAAAATATAAAACAATTAGCTGGGCATGGTGGTGCACGCTTGTAGTCCCAGCTACTCTGGGGGTGGTGGCATGAGAACTGCTCAAACCTGGAGGCAGGGGCTGCAGTGAGTCATGATCGTGCTACTCCACACTATCCTAGGCAACAGAGACTATGTCTCAAAACAGAAAAAACAGCTGGGCACAGTGGCCATGCCCATAATCCCAGCACTTTGGGATGCCGATGTGAGTGGACCACTTGAGGTCAGGGTCAGGATTTCGAGACTAGCCTGGCCAACAAAATGAAACCCCATCTCTACTAAAAATTATCCAAGTGTGGTGGTGCACACCTGTAATTCTAGCTACTCAGGAGGCTGAGGCAGAAGAATCGCTTGAACCCAAAAGGCAGAGGTTGCAGTGAGCAGAGATTGCATTAGTGCATTCTAACCTGGCTGACAGTGAGACTATCTCAAAAAGGAAAAACAAAAGATTACTGTTGACAAGTCCACTGTTTGTTGAATGAAGTTTCTTTTGTAGGTGATTAGATGCTTTTCTCTTGCTGATTTTATAATTCTTTCCTTCACCTTAACTTAATGACTATATGGCATTAAACCCATGTTGCAACATATTTTCCTAAGACTCATTAGGCATCCCATGGCTAAGATATCTAAATCTCTTGCTAGACTAGGGAAGTTTTCATTAATTATTTCCTTAAAAAGGTTCACTAAATATTTGCTTTTCATTTGGAAATACTGTTAATTCATCAGATCTGCTGCTTTATGTAGTCTTGTATTTTTCAAAGACCTTCTTCCTTCTTATATAGTCTTTATTCTTGTCAACTAGGTCAATTCAAAAGATTCTTCTGCCTTATCTAATCTACAGTTCAGGCTTTCAAATGCACTCCAAAATTTCTTCAATGAATTTTTAATTGCCATAAAGTTCTGTTTCATTTTATGAAAAGACATCTATTTCTTCTTCATGTCCTAAATAGACTTTCCAATTTATTTGTATTGGTTTTCACATGTCCCTTGTATCTCATTAAGTTTCTTTAAAAACAGTATTTTGAGCACTTTAGCATTTCATTATTATTTTTGATTAGGATCCACCGCTAAAGAATTCCTATGTTCCTTTGAGGAGGTGTTATAATACCTTACTTTTTTTATGTTTCTTGTAACGTTATGTTTATTTCTGCACAACCAGAGATGTATTTGCTTCTTGGTATCATTAAATGTACTTTCACTAGGACAGGAGTTTTTTTCTTGAGGATGTGACTTTGCTTCTGGACAAATTTAGTGGCAAAAACTCTATTATTTCTTTGGTTCTAAAATAAAAAGCCTCAGGGTGGTGGTTTTCTCAAATGCCAGTCACACTAGCAGTGTACCAGGCAGATGAGTAGGTTCACAACCCCAGTAGCCAGCATGGTATGAACAATTCTGGTAACATGAAGTCATGAGAACTCACCTCACTCCTGAGCTTGATGCACTTGTGTCACATATTGTAATGAGCTATGTGGGCTGATCTCCAGGCCAGTAGGGAGCACTAAGAATTAAAAGCCAGCTGCAGTGGTAGCAGTAGGGTTTATACCCAACATCTGTTAACCTGGAAAATCACTGATCTCCCTATAAACATCATTAGAAAGATGGAAACAGAAAAATCAAATATTGGACTTATTTTGAACTTTAAACCAAATGAACGTAACGTTCATATTTATAGAACATTCTACCTGCATAATATATATTCTTCTCATTAGCACATGGAACATTCTCCAAGTCAGATCATTAGACCACAAAACAAGACTCAACTTTTTTTTTTTTTTTTTTTTTTGAGAAAGGGTCTCCCTGCATTGACTAGACTGGTCTTGAATTCCTTAGATCAAGCAATCCTGACACCTCAGCCTCCCAAAATGCTAGGATTACAGAAGGATCCACTGTATCTGGCTATGAACAAATTTTTGAAAAACCACAATCAGGCCGACATACTGGCACAAGCCTGTAATCCTAGCACTTTGGGAGGCTGAAATGGGATGATCACTTGAGCTAAGGAGTTTGACACCAGTCTGGCAACATGGCAAAATTCTGTCTCTACAAAAAATACAAAAATCAGCCAGGCATGGTGGTATATGCCTGTAGTCCAGCTACTTGGGAGACTGAAGTGGAAGAATCACTTGAACCCAGGAGGTGAAGACTGCAGTAAGCCAAAAATCATGCCACTGCACTCTAGCCTGGGTGACAGAGTGAGACCTTGTCTCAAAAAAAATATCAGTATCATATCAAGTATCTTCTCAGACCACAGCAGAATAAAAATAGAAATCAATGCCAAGAGAATCTTCGGAACTATAAAAATATATGAAAATTCAACATGCTTCTGAACTATCACTAAGTCACTGAAAAAATTAATATGGGCCAGGTGTGATGGCTCACACCTGTAATCTCAGCACTTTGGGAGGCTGAGGTGGGCAGATCACGAGGTGAGCAGTTCAAGACCAGCCTGGCCAACATGGTAAAACCATGTCTCTACTAAAAATACAAAAATTAGCTGGATATGGTAGTGGGCGCCTATAATCCCAGCTACTCAGGAGGCTGAGACAGGAGAATGGCTTGAACTTAGGAGGTGGAGGCTGCAGTGAGCCAAGATCGTGCCATTGCACTCCAGTCTGGCAACGAGAGCAACACTTTCTCAAAAATAAAAAATAAATAACCCAGAAAAGAGAGACCTAAAAAAAAATCAATAAAACAAAAGTTGGTTCTTTGAAAATTTAAACAAAATTGGTAAGCTACTAGCTACACCAACCAAGAAGAGGTAAGCTCCAAACAAAGTCAGAAATTAAGAAGGACATATTACAGCTGAAACCACAGAAATACAAAGCATCAACAGAGACGACTATGAAGAACTATATACTGACAAACTGGAAACCCTATGGGAAATGGATAAATTACTACAAACATACAATGTCCCAAGCCTTAACCACTAAGAAACAGAAATCCTGAATAGATAATTGGTGAGCCTGAATCAATAAAGACTCTCCGAACAACAAAAGAGCCCAGAACCACATGGATTCACAGTAGAATTCTACCATACATAGATGAAACTATTCAAAAAAAGAGGAAGGTATTCTTTCTGAATGCATTCTAAGAAGTTAGTATCACTTTGATATCAAAACCAAACAAGGACACAATAACAAAAACAAAACTACAGACCAATATCCCTAATAGATGAAACAATCCTAAACATATTAGCAAACTGAATCCAGCAGCACATAAAAAAGATAATAAACTGGCTGGGCACAGTGGCTCACACCTGTAATCCCAGCACTTTGGAAAGCTGAGGTGGGCAGATGACAAAGTCAGGAGTTCGAGACCAGGCTGGACAACATGGTAAAACCCCATCTCTACTAAAAATACACAAACTAACTGGGCATGGTGGCAGGTGCCTGTAACTCCAGCTACTCAGGAGGCTGACGCAGATCACTTGAAGCTGGGAGGTGGAGGCTACAATCAGCCGATTGTTCCACTGTACTCCAGCCCAGGCAACAAGAGCAAAATCCATCTCAAAAATAAATAAATAAATAAATGACAATGTGGGAATTCACTCAGGGTGGTGGCAAAAATATTAAAGAAAGTTACTGAATATAGTCTTAAACCCTTTTGGAAGGCCTAAGGGTTTTTTCTATAGTTCTTGGCTGAATGCAGCCTAAATCCCCTTTACATTTAGTTAATAAATAAAGCAAATAGCTAGGGTATGTGGGGGAGTTTACCTAACTAAATTGTTTACTCACATAGATTTAAAACTAACCTTTGAGCTGGATGGCCCTCTGGGGGTATGTCAACAACGGATATTATCTACTAATGGTGTTTGCTTGCTTTGCACCCCGGAACCTGTGCTTTAATCTTCTAGTGGTGTTGACTGAAGCCTTTGTCAATCACACTTTACTAAATAAATGTGAATCTTACTTGCTAGGAAGGGCTGGCGGTTGCAACTGTTTACAGCACTCTCTGGGGTGCCTGTAAGCCCCCCAGACCATCAGACAAACTGGTAAAGCATAATATCTGTGTGTCAGTATACTTTATTCACCTGTCACTGGATCAGGGTATGCAGGACAGACCCACATAGGTGGTGACCCCTACAAAATAAACCATGATCAAGTAGGTTTTATACCAAGGATGCAAGGATGGTTCTACACATGCAAATCAATAAATGTGACTTATCACAACTAAGAACAAAAACCACATCATCATCTCAATACATACACAAAAAGCATTTCATAAAATTTAGTATCCCTTCATGATAAAACCCCTATTACACACTATGCATAGAAGGAACATAGCTAAGGCCAAGAGCAGTGGCTCACACCTGTAATGCCAGCATGTTGGGAGGCTAAGGCAGGTGGATCACCTGAGGTCAGGAGTTCAAGGGCAGCCTGGCCACAACATGGCAAAACTCTGTCTCTACTGAAAATACAAAATTTAGTCAGGTATGGTGGCAGGTGCCTGTAATCCCAGCTACTCAAGAAGCTGAGGCATGAAAATCGCTTGAACCTGGGAGACAGAGGTTGCAGTGAGTGGAGATTGTGCCACTGCACTCCAATTTGGTGACAGAGCAAGACTCTGTCTCAAGAAAAAAAAAAAGGAAGGAACATAGCTATAAATAATAGCTGCCATAAGGCCATATACAACAATCCCATAGCCAAAATCATACTAAATCAAGAATTATTTGAAGTATCCCCTTTAAAAACTTGAACAAAACAAAGATGCCCACCTTCACAACTCCTATTCAACATACTACTATATATCCTGACCATGGCAATCAGGCAAGAAAGAAATGGGAAACAGGATGTCAAAGTATGTTTGCTGATGACATGCAGCTCATGCCTGTAATCCCAACACTTTGGGAGGCCAAGGCGAGTGGATCACAAGGTCAGGAGTTTGACACCATCCTAGCTAACATGGCAAAACCCATTTCTACTAAAAATACAAAAAATTAGCTGGGCATGGTGACGTGTGCCTGTAGTCCCAGCTACTCAGGAGGCTGAGGCAGGAGAACCGCTTGAACCTGGGAGGCTCACCGCAACCTCCACTTCCCGAGTTCAAGTGATTCTCCTGCCTTAGCCTCCCGAGTAGCTGGGATTACAGGCATGTGCCACCATGCCCAGTTATTTTTGTATTTTTAGTAGAGACAGGGTTTCTCCATGTTGGTCAGGCTGGTCTCAAACTCCTGACCTCAAGTGACCTGTCTGCCTCAGCCTCCCAAAGTGCTGGGATTACAGATGTGAGCTGCTGTGCCCAGCCAGATCTCTAAAACATATTTTCCTAACTGAAATTCTGTATCCTTTGACCAACACCTATTCAACCCCCTCACCTGTATAATTATCATTTTTACTCCCTCCTTTAATGAGTCAAACTCTTTAAGATTCCAAAAATGAGTAACATCATACAGTATCTGCCTGTGTCTAGATTATTTCTGTTAACACAATGTCCAGGTTTATCCATGTTCTTGCAAATGACAGGTAAAATAGTACTCCATTATGTACATATACCACATTTGCTTCATTCAATTCCTTGATAAACATTCAGGCTGATTCTGTATCTGGAATAATGCTACGAAAAACATGAGTATAAGTATCTCTTCAAAATAATGATTTACTATCCTTTAGATATATATATATATACACAATAGTAAGATTTCTGGATCATATAATTTTAATTTTTTTTGAAACTTTCAAAAAAAGTTCCAAAAAATGGTAATAGCTGTACTAATTCATGTTTCCATGAACTGTGTGCAAAAGTTCCCATTTCTCTACCTCTTTGCCAACATTTGTTACCTTTTATTTTTGGTGATTTGGTGCTATTTCATAGTGGTTTTTATTTATATTTCCACAAATATTAGTGATGTTGTGCACTTTAGCCATTTGTATGTCTTCTTCTGAAAAATGTCTCTTCTGGTCCTTTGCTCACTCCACCTTTTTTTTTTTTTTTTTTTTAAGATGAGGTGTCACTCTTTCACTCAGGTTGCAGTGCAGTGTGGCATGATCTCAGCTCACTGCAACTTCCATCTCCTTCAGGCTCATGTGATCCTCTCAACTCAGCCTCCTCAGTGGCTGAGACTGCCCGCGTGCACCACCACACTGACTAATTTTCTGTAGAGATGGGGATTTGCCATGTTACATAGGCTGGTCTCAAACTCCTAAGCTTAAGTGATCCACCCGCTTTGGCCTCCCAAAGTACTGGGATTGCAGGCATAAGCCACAACACCCAGCCCATTTTCTTTTGAGACAGGGTCTGTCTGTGGCCCAGGCTGGAATGCAAGCACACAATCATAACTCACTGTAACCTCAAACTCCTGAATTCATTTTTTAATTGGCTTATTTGTTTTCTTGTTATTTAGTTGAGTTCCTCACAAGTTTTGGAAGAATTAATATTGCTAAAATGATTATACTACCCAGAGTACTTTATGGAGACAATGTAATCCCCATAAAAATTCCAATGACACTTTTCATATAAATTGAAAATACAATTCTAAAATGGTTTATGTGAAACCACAGAAAAGCCCAAATAGCCAAAGCAATCTTAAACAAAATTAATAAAGCTGGGCAGGCTGGGCACAGAGGCTCACAGCTATAATCTCAGCACTTTTGGAGCCAAGTTGAGTAGATCACCTGAGATCAGGAGCTCGAGACCAGCCTGACCAACATGGAGAAACCCTGTCTCTACTTAAAATTCAAAATTAGCCAGGTGTGGTGATGCATGCCTGTAATTCCAGCTACTAGGAGGCTGAGACAGGAGAATCATTTGAACCTGGGAGGCAGAGGATGCAGTGAGCCAAGATTGTGCCATTGCACTCCAGCCTGGGCAACAAGAGCAAAACTCCATCTCAAAAAATAAAAATAAAATAAAAGCTGGAGGCATCACACTAGACAATTTCAAAATATACCACAAAGCTGCAGTAAATGAAACCATACAGTACCGGGATTAAAAACAGACACATAACCAATGGAACAGAACAGAGAACCCAGAAATAAAATATACACATTTATATTAAATTGATTTTCAACCAAATGCCAAAACATAAAACTTGGAAAGAACAGTTGATTTAATACATGGCACTGGGCAAACAGAATATCTACACGCAGAAGAAACTAGGCAGTATCTCACACCACATATAAAAATGAACGTTAAATGCATCACTACAAAGTTAAACGTAGGCTGGGTGTGGTGGCTCATGACTGTAATCCCAGCATTTTGGGAGATCAAAGCAGGATGACTGCTTGAGCCCAGAAGTTTGAGACCACCCTGGGCAATACAAAGCAACCTTGTCACTACAAAAATTAAAAAAAAAAAAAAAAAAAATTTTTTTTAAATTAGGCATGGTGTCATGTGCCTCTTGTCCCAAGTACTGTGACAAGCTGAAACAGGAGTATCACTTGAGCCAAGGAAGTAGAGGCTGCAGTGAGGCAAGATTGAGCACTCTATCCTGTGTGACAGAGTGAGACACTGTCTCAATTAAAAAAAAAAAACAGGCTGAGGCACAACAATCACTTCAAATCAGGAGTCAGAGGTTGCATTGAGCTGAGATCTTGCCTTGCATTCCAGTCTGGGCCACAGAACGAGACTCCGTCTCAAAAAAAAAAAAAAAAAAAAAAAAAAAGAAGGAAAAAGAAAACAAACTTAAAAGTAAGACCCAAAACTGTAAAGCTACTGGAAACATAGGGGAAAATCTCCTTGACATTGGTCCATACTATGACTTTTTTTAAAGATATGACCACAACAGTATAGGGACGAAGGCAAAAACAGACAACTGGAATTACATATGAAACTAAAAATCTTCTGTACTGGAAGGGAACAATCAACAGAATGAAGAGACAATGTATGAAATGGGAGAAAATATTTGCAAAGCACACATCTGATAAAGGGTTAATATGCAAAATATATGTGAGTCCTCTGGTTAGATGAACATGGGGTATCTTTCCATTTACTTAGATATCTAATTTCTTTCAATAACACTTTGCAGTTTTAAGAGTTTATGTTTTGTACTTCTTTTTGATGCTGTTATATATGCTTTCCTCAATTTCAGTTTTGGATTCCTCTTTGCAAGTATATGGAAACAAAACAGATTTATGTGCACTGATCTTCCATACTTCAACCTTGTTGAATTGGCTTTTAATTGTTTGTGAATTTCTTAGAATGTTCTGCATATTAAATCAAGTTATCTGTGTATAATATTTCACTTCTTCCTTTCCAATTTTGACACTTTTACTATTTGAAAAAATATTTGGCTTCATTTTCCTAACTAGATCCACCAGTACAATGTTGAAAAGAAATGCTGAGAGGGGTCATCTTGTTCCTGAATTAGCAGGAAAACCTCCAATCCTTCACTATGATATTAGCTGTGGGATTTTTACAGATGTTTTTTATCAAGCTTAGAAAGTTCCCAACTTTCCCTACTTTGTTGAATGTTTTTATCATGAAGAGGCCTCAGATTTTATCAATATTTTTCACTATCTCTTAAAAAGATCATATAGCTTTTTTTCTTTGATATGGCATATAACATTAAAGATTCTTACATCAGAAACTTTTGCATTCCTGAGATAAATCTCACTTGGTCATGGTATATAATCCTTTAATGTTAGTTTCAAATTACTAGTACTTGGTTGAGGATTTTTACATCTATATACATTTAAAAAATCATTCTGCAATTTTCTTACAGTGTACGGAGTCTGCTTTCGGTATCCAAATATTGCCCTTACTGATTTGAGAAATGCTCCATCCTCTTCTATTTCTTCGAAGAATTGGTGAGGAATGCACCTTTAAATGTTTAGCAGAATTTACCAGTAAAATCATCTGATTTGGGGCTTTTCATTTTGCCCTAACTCCATTGTTTTACTGGGTATATGTTCAGATTTTCTTCTTCTTCAGTCAGTTCTGGTAGTTTTGTGCCTTTTTAGGAATTTGTTTCATCTACTAAATAGAGTATCACACAACTGGGATTATTCTATAGTAAACTACTGGAAGGTCAGCAGTAATGTCCCCTCATTCATTCCTAATTTTAGTAATTGAGTCTTCTTTTCTATTGAGGTAAGTTTAGTTGAATGTTTAATTGTGTTGATCACTTCAAAAAATGTCTATGGTTACCTTGATTTTCTATTTTTGTCTATTCCCTATTAATTTCCACACTATTTTTTTTCCTATATTCTGCTGACTTTAGGCTTAGTTTGCTCTTCTATTTCCAGTTTCTTAAAAGGTCTAGGTTATTGATTTGAGATCTTCTTAATATAGCATTTATCACTATAAGTTTCCTAAGAATTGCTATAATTGTACCCCCAAGACCTTTGGTATGTTTGTCTTCATTTTCATTCATCTCAAAGTATTTTCTAAGTAACCTCATGATTTCTTCTTTGACCGTTATTTAGGAGTGTTTCAACGTATTTGTGAATTTCTCAAGTTTCTTTTTAGTATTGATTTCTGATTTTATTCACTGGTCAGATAATGTTCTTTTTTGTAATTTCAATCCTTTTAAATGTGTTGGTTTGCTTCATGACCTAGTGTGACTACTGAAGAATGTTCTATATACACTTGAAAATAAAGTCTATTCTGCTGTTGTTGAGTGTTCAAAAACGTCTCTTAAGTCTAATTGATTTACAGAGTTGCTCAAGTCATCTTGTCTTGCTGATTTCCTCAGTTTTCTATTATGACAGTGTTGTATTGAATTCTCCAATTATTGAATTATGCATTTCTTCCTTCAATTCTGTCAACAGTTAATATATCTTGCTGCTCTTATGAGGTGCATATATGTTTACGATTTGTATGCCTTCTTGAGGCACTGACCCTTTTGTCATCATAGAATGTCCCTCTTTATCTCCAGCAATATTGCATCAGTACATTTTGTCTGAAATCAGTATAGGCATGCTAGCTTTATTATGGTTGCTATATTTGCATGTTATATCTTCATCTATCCTTTTACTTTCAGCCTATCTGCATCTTTGAATCCAAAGTCTGTCTCCTGTAAACAGCCTATAGACCAAGTCTGTTTTTTTCCTTCAGTCTGACAATTTCTGCCATTCCACTGGATTGTTTAATCCTTTAACACCTGACATTACTTGGCTGTTTTTGTTTAGAAACAGGTCTCTCATCATGCACAGTGCTGAGATCAGAGTTCACTGCAGTCTTGAACTCCTGGGCTCAAGTGATCTTCCCACATCAGCCTATCAAGGAGTTGGGACTACAGGTATGCACCATCGCACTCAGCTAATTCAAATTTTTTTTGTAGAGACAAGGTCTTACTATGGTGCTGAAGCTCATCTCAAGCTCCTGGCCTCAAATGATCTTCGGCCTACCAAGGTGTGCTAGGATTACAGATATGAGCCACTATACCTGGCCTTCATATTACTATTGATATAAAGATGCTGCATGAGTTGCAATAGTATTACATCCCAATAAACCTATCAGAAATTGAAAATATCCTAGGTCAAAGATGCAGTTAATACAGGTACAACGAACCTACCAAGCATCATAGCTAAGCCTAAGCCTACCTTAAACATGTTTAGAACACTCATATTAGCCTACAATTAAGCAAAATAATTTAACCTAGAATTGATTTTATATCAAAGTATTGAATTTCTCATATAATTTATTCATATTCTATAGAATGTCTATCACTTCCCACAGCATCATAAACTAAAAATCGTGTCAAACCATAATTCAGGGTCCACCTGTAGTTTGATTTGTTTGTCTTTTACTTTTTGGTTTATGTCTCATGCCTTTTGTTCTATTCCTTTACTGCCATAGGTATGAGATTTTTCTAATGGTGTCTTTTTTTTTGAGACAGGGTCTCACTCTGTCACCTGGCCTGGAGTGCACCGGCACAATCTCAGCTGACTGCAACCTCCACCTCCCGGATTCAAGCATTACTCCTGCTAACCCTTCTGAGTAGCTGGGATTACAAGTGACCACCATGCCCAGATAATGTTTGTATTTTTAGTTGAGATGGGGTTTCACTATGTTGGCCAGGCTGGTCTCAAACTCCTGACTTCAAGTGATCCACCCTCCCAAAGTGCTGGGTTTACAGGTGTGAGCCATCATGCCTGGTCTAATGCTGTCATTTTTAAAACTTAATTTTTCTTTTAGAGACAGAGACTCACTCTGTTGACAGGCTAAAGTAGGCATGAACACAGCTTATCACAGCCTTGACCTCGTGGACTCAAACAAGATTCTCATTTGATCCTTCAAGTAGCAGGGACATCAGGGGTGCCCACCGTATTTTTTTTTTTTTTTTTTTAAAAGACAGAGTCTCACTATGTTGCCCAGGCTGGTCTTAAATTCTTGGGCTCAAGCAATCCTCCTGCTTTGGCCTCCCAAAGTGCTGAGATTAGGCAATTTTATAGGCCTGTGCCTGGCCTATAGATGGCTAACATTATGTTTACAATTCTTATATCAATGTTGATGAGAGATGGGTCTACTTTTATCAGGTTTTGATATCAAACTTTTGCGGGCCTAATACAAACTACAAAGTCTTTCTAGTCTCTGAACAGTTTGTGTGTGAATGGTGTTATTTTTCCTTAAATATTAGAATAATTCACCATTAATGCCATCTGGGTCTGGAGTTAACTTAGTGGTAAAGGTTTTCAATTAAAATTGATGTAGAACCAGCTGGGAGCAGGGGATCACATCTGTAATACCTTTAGTCTTGAGAGCCTTGAGTCTGGGAAGCCAAGGCTCAAACAGCCCAGGACTTCGAAACTATCTTAGGCAACAGTGAGGCGTAATCTCCAGTTTAAAAAAAAAAGGCTGGACACAGTGGCACATGCCTGTAATCTCAGCACTCTGAGAGACGAAGGTGGGACCTGAGGTCAGGAGTTCAAGACCAGCCTGACCAACATGGTGAAACCCCATCTCTACTAAAAAGTACAAAAATTAGCCACGTATGGTAGCAGGTGCCTGTAATCTCAGTGACTTGGGATGCTGAGGCAGGAGAATCACTTGAACCCTGGGGGAGGAGGGAGGCGTAGGCTGCAGTGAAGTGAGATTGTACCACTACACTCCAGCCTGGGCAAAAGAGCAAAACTCTGTCTCAAAAAAAAGAAGATACAGAAAATACATACAACTATGCATGCTTTCTGTATCTTTTGGTGTCAATTTTACCTATTTTTCCATTTCAGCACAATTTCAAATTTATCAACACAAAGTTCTCATCGTATTCTCTATGAGAATATCTCTTTCCTTTTTTTAAAGACAGAGTCTTGCTCTTTTGCCAGGCTAAAGGGCAGTGGCAGGATCTCAGCTCACTGCAACCTCTGGCTCTAGGATTCAAGCGATTCTCCCACCTCAGCCTCTCCAGTAGCTGGGACTACAGGCATGTGCCACCACCACGCCTGGCTAATTTTTGTATATTAGTAGAGATGAGGTTTCACCACATTGGCCAGGCTAGTCTTGAACCCCTGAGCTCAGGTGATCCTCCTGCCTTGGCCTCCCCAAGTGCTGGGATTATAGGCGTGAGCCACTGCACCCAGCCTCATTCTTGATACTAGTAATGTGTTTCTTTTTCTTGATCATTTTTATTAAACATGTATCAAGATTCTCAAAGTAAACAAAAATGACAAAAAAAGACTGTCAAAGTATTTTAAGTTTGCTAA